ACTCTGGGCGACTAAATGATGTCTAATATTAGCCAATGGCTAATAAATTCTCAGATTTTACTCGCCAGTGTGTGAGTTGGAGGCTAAATATAAGTTTAGCACAGATATATTTTCACTCGCCGAACACTGAGCGCTTCAGAGTTTCACTCTCCATCAAGCGATCTGTGATATTTTTCAGTTCATCTCAATGGATGCGTAGCGCTCCTGTGTTTGACGTACCCATGAACTCTAGCATAACGGCGCACGACTCGCCGTCGCTTTGGTGAGAGCAGAGCGCGTGAGAGTCTTACATGTAAACCATATTCTTTGTTGTATTTTGCGGTCAAAATAACGGAGTTCCTTTGGAATTCTTCAGCTTATATGTAAACGATATTCTTTGTTGTATTTTCCGGTCAAAATAACGCCGTTCCTTTGGAATTCTTCAGCTTATAAGAACTGCCAGGTTTTCCGGTAGTGGGCGGAACTAATGCGCAAACGGCAATCTCATTGGCTGGTGCTCACCTATTATCGTCCTGTTTTGATTTCAGCGAATCAGTTCGAGCGAATGCACACAACCTGATTAATATTCATGAATCCAGCAGCTCATTAGTCCTTCGTGCGTTTTATATTGTTCTTATTAGTAGACTTCGTATTATTATTATCATCATCATCTTATCAGTATTATTGTTAGTTTTTTCCCTTTTTTTGTTTTTACAGAAACACTGGATGACCAAAAAAAGCACCACCACCAGTCCTAAATTCAGTTAAAATGTCTATGCATTCATACATGGTTACCAAGTTTTAATTCTAATTACTAAAGTTCTATCATTAAATAATACTTGATTATCATAATATAATGCTTGACTGACTGATTTTAAGAGTGTACTTTCAGGTTTTTAAAAAGCTGTGCCATTTTACAAACATATACAGTATTACACACATATACATATATTATATACACACACATTTACAGTCAATGATGATTCAATTGCCAAGGTGTCCGTAAAGGGTTGAAAGTATACAAAAATATCAATGAAAACATTGTACAGTATGTGGAAAATAATGTGTTTTTTTAAACTTTAAACCGCATAAACATTTCATTACACCAAATACACAACATAATGTTCTTTTTAGCAACATCATATGACCCCTTTAAATAATATTCAGGTGGCAGCCAACACAGATCTTGCAAACCTCTCAGCAGATGTGCAGTCGCACCCCTGTGTGTCGTATGTTTGAGACAAAAGTTCTTCCCTAAATGATCGGAGATGCAGTTCAAGTCCATTCCCAAACAGCTCGTACTGGACTATTAACAGCTGAAAACCATCAGAAAAGCAGCGATATTCGACAAGAGGAACACAACTGAAAGCAGGACACAAAATGATGCTTGTGATATTTATTATACATGACAGAAATTTGGTCATTACATAGAAATAAAAAAAAACTCCTAACAGGACTTTCTAGTGGAGACTAAAATCATACAAGACCTCCAGTGTCTTGAGGCTGAACGTCCACGTTACTTCACATGAAGCTCATTAATTTCAGCGAACGTCACAATCTGAGAGGCTTCTGGGTTCATTGTGGTCGTCTGACAGAAGTGAGAGAGAACACTAAAGATGAGACACACACGTACATCACATCACATTTCTGCATAAATCAAATATATCCATAAACAGCATGAGGCAAACGTTATGCAAACATGCATAAAATCACCGAGACACACGTACTTCAGCTCAGAGTTTCCGCTGGTAGCATTTTGAAGGCTTCCAAAAACATTGGCCAAAGAGAGCCACCCTTAAAAGAAACACGAATGCGTTCAACAGCCGCGGTACGGCACACATGAGCGTTCAGACACAGGATTCTCACAGACAGCCGACGTCTGAGCTCCTCGTGTTGCTGTGAGCCGAAACATACGCCAAACAAAACACATTTACACAAATCAACCCACTGTGACCCTAAGCCGTTAGCAGAAGCGGAGTCCCGCGCCAAGGCTGATACAAGCCATTGTAAAAGCCATCAGAGAGCCGCCGCGGAGAGCAAACCGCAACCGAACACACTAACTCAAGGTTCAAGTAAACAACCTTGGCATTTCCAGAGGAACAGTTACACTGATTAACATCTAATTAGCACGATTTTGCCAAAATGCATAAAAGAAGAAACGCAGTAAAAGCCTGCAGCGACTCATAAACGACCGCTTTCAAACAAGGGTTTATGCACCATGTGCATAGAACTATCAAAGCAACTTCCGGACCAAAAAAAAACATCCGTAAAACGACACACTGCCTCGGCCTGCAGAACACGAGGGTGTTTCTCTTCGGCCCGCTGAACTTCATCACACAGACTCCCATAATTCATCTGGACGCCAGTGAAACTGTAAAACGAGCGTGAATATCCTCCGATAAGCAGCTGAGACGATCTTAAACTAAACACTTCTGTAAGAGTTTCAATAAACACAGACTTCATTCACAATATGAACTTAAGCAATTCGAGACGGGCGGCTTTGACTAATCAATCAGTTAAAAGGGAGGAAGGCCCTTGGATAACAAGCTCTGGCTCTGAAACAGACTTAACACAAAAGCATCTGTGAGTGTTTGAGATCTCAGATTGAAAAAGAATAAAGTGAATTCCACCTTCCAGCAAACTCATTCTTCCATTTCATCAGACGGAGCCCATGTGCTTCAAACAACACAAATAACGTCTCAAAACAAAGGCGCGACAGCACGTCTCAGCAGACGCACGCGGAGGAAAGATTCACAGTTCAGCTCACAGCAGCTCAGAGTGACGTCCACCAATCAGCTGCGGTCTGCACGATTCAGGCCTCAAGCTAACGACTGATAACGAGCAACTGCAGTAAAGAAAAAACATCCCGCGTGGAGGAGCAGTGGGTTGCTTAGCTCCTCGTACTGAGAGAAACACGAATGAAGAACACGAGGTCTGCTGCAGTCCAGACAAACCAAACTTAGAACAGAGTAACGGAATTCACCACACAGAACGTCTGCTAGCCTCACAGAATAACACGCGTCACAAATCTTCCTCATGCTATCAGAGCTCACGTGACCTGCTCAGCATCAGACTGACAGGGCGGATGTGAAGGAGAAATTAGCCGCTAGTTTAACCTTGTTGCGTGCCGTTCGCCGGCCGGGACTGTCTGTGACGCACGTTTTCTTGCCCGAGGGCTCCGCCGCATCGCTCGCTCCGTGATCTGGGCCGTTTTCAGAAGCCGAAGCCACGAGGGGACCGTTGGCCGACTGAGGCTGCCGATCGTGAACCGGCTCTCGTTGAGACGGACCGTGTGGATGCGGCTCGAAGCAGATCAGATCTCTGGGCTGCAGCAGCACCGGGTCGGGCCGCAGCTGAGGAGACGGGAGGCAGGAGGGGACCGGAGCACACAGCAGATCCACCGGAGAACCAGAACCCAGACACAGCAGCTCCAGCTCACCTGTGGGACACACACAGATCGTTAGCTCGCACTGATGAGGACACACAGGCTAACGGAGGGTGATCGGCAGAGTCTTTACCGCTGGCGGGGCTGTCAGCTGACCGGGGCTCTTCATCAGGACACGGCTCGTCTGCAGTGACCACAGGACTGTCTGTGACCGCAGGACTGCCACGAGCTACAAACACACACACACACACGTTCAGCTTGATTTAGTCATGCATTTCCTGCATATCTAATGGAACATACTTTTCTACTCTGAGAACATTCATTGGATTTGGCTCAGTTAATTGTCAGATCATGCTGGATAAAAGTTACTCGTTTTGCTTAGAACTTCATGACAACGATCAGACAGAGTCAGACGTGATCCAGTGTTCCTGTCACCTGTCTGACACCTTGAATTATATTGAACGCATTCATCACATCTTCAGACAAAAACGATTAAATATCTCCTTTTATGCTCCACAGACGAAAGTCATACAGGTTTGGAAGCATGTGTGAGCAAGTAAATGACACAACTAACCCTTTAAAACAGTTATGATAATCTACAAAAAGAAGAAAGTGAGGCTTTGAGCTCTTTCACTGAGCCATTCAGTCATCACATGTACTGTCCATTTTTTAGGAACAGGCAGTTCACAGGAGTGACGGAGACACGGAGGGAAAAGTCAAGGATTCTGCTACCTCTCATGTCGTTCTTCAGGACGATGATCTTTTTGTGACCGTGACCTTTAATCCAGACCACCTGTTCAAAACAGAAAACAGAACGCATTCATCCCAAGGCATTTAATCGAGTGCGCTGAATCACAGCAAAGCTAGCACATGTGTTAGCGCACCTGTGGCACGGCGGCCAGCAGCTCCTCCAGCGTCTTATAGCCGTACGTCTGCGGCTGAAACTCTCGGCCGCTGTATTTGCTGAAGGCGCCGCAGAACTCCGACAGGAAGATCTGGTTATAATGATAGGTGTGCAGCAGTGCTCGGATGCTGCGGGCGAACTGGTAAAGTCTGGTCAGCCTCACACACTCCTCTGCTCCGCCATCGTCCCGCTCGTCTCCGGAGAGCTGCAGAAGAAGAGAGACACTGTCAGCATCAGGACAGACTGGAGCGCTGGATGCGTGTCGTAGCTCGTACCTGCAGCAGGTAAGGCAAGCTCTTTAGCAGCTCGCTCAGAGAGATGAAGCCGTACTCGCATGGGTTGAGCGGTGCGCCGTAGCTGAGCTCGTACCGCTTCCTCAGCTCCTCCACTGCGAGATGATCACGATCCTCAGGAAGTGACATCATCAGTGCCAGCAGCTGAGACGTCAAGGCACGCAGGGACTTCCTGTTAATCAGCTGCACCTCTTTCCCTTCGGGAGCGTCCACCACCTAGAGAGAAAGAGCGCAAAATGTGCCAAAGATCATCTAAGGAGGCTTATCAGTGCAATGAAAGGAAATGACGTTCACCTTCACCACGTGGCAGAGCTTGTTGAGCAGGGCGGGCAGCGTGGCGGCGTCGTAGTCCTGCAGGCGGAGGCTGTAGCCAAACGTCTTGCTGTATTCACTCAGCAGCTGACTGACAGCGAGGCCGGAGTCTCTCTGGGCTCGAAGCAGCTTCACCAGCTGAGCCGCTAACGCTTTCACACACTCCACCTCCGTCAGCGCCAGCAGCCGCTCCTCTCCACACTCCAGCACCTGAGACACAAACACAGCGTGTCAGAAACTGCCGCCGAGCGCTCCAGCACCTTCACATCTGCGCTCGTGTACCGACCAGAAGAACGTCTGGAATGGCCTCAAACAGCTCCATGAGTTTGGTGAAGCCGTAGTAGGAGAGCTTGCACTGGCGCCCGAAATGGTGGTGATACGTGGGGATGAATTTGCTGAAGGGCATCCGGAAGTGAGGCTGATGTCTCAGAAGATCGACCACCTCTTTGCCAAACTGCCGCGTGCGCTCCAGCTCCTCCGCCGTCCGCTCTGAGGGAGACAGACGAGTTCAGCAGGTACACCGTGGCCTAACCAGTCACGACCGCAACACGCTCTACTTCTGTTGGTCGCTTGGTTATTTTTGTGGTGTTGTGCCAGCTAGTCCCGCCCACACCGAAACCTCATTTGACCAAATTAGTGCTCAAAGATGGATGAAGAGAAACAAATCATGGAAGTTTAGAATTAGTTACTATATGATGATCCACAGGGAAAACCATAAAGAGAGTCGGAGTTGACCGAGAAAATCATGTAGTGCATGATGGACACAGACTGATTTTTTAGCTTCAAACTCTGATTCTATTCTGTGGATCGCTATCAGACATGTTTGGTAATTTGAGCCGATTCTAGAACACATTGTTTTCATTTTCACGCGTCTCTTAGCAACGAGGCACATGTTTCTACATGAGTTTGTTTTGAAAGTCTGTTTGCGTGATTATTTAGTTTGCGATGCACAGCTTTTGTCTGTAAACATTCATAAAGTCAGAGAGTGTGTGTGTGCGTGCGTGTATATGTGAGTGTGTGTGAGTGAGTGAGTGTGTGTGATGCCTGTGCAGTGCGTTACAAGTGTGACACAGCATACAAACAGAGCGAAACTGTTCTGATTGGCTGTACTTTGTCACATCAGGCCCCATTTTCACATTGGGTGTGAACGGCCGAACTGCTCGTGTTATGCTGTATCACGCATTCATGTGTTTGCAGCAGTGCTTCACCTCTCTTGGGAACAGAGATGAGCGTGTCACCGTCCTGCTGAGAGACTGTGATCGTCGTGTCTGGAATCTCAGCCAACAGGTCCATCAGATCACACATCCCATAATCCACCACCTGCCAGTTCCTGGAGAAACACCTGACACACACACACACACACACACAGATCAGGATGAAGCAGCAATGCCTCACGCTTCAGCAGCACAGAGAGACGCCGTACTGAGATGCTCACCAGTGATACGCCTGCATGAAGTCCCCGATCACCACCTGTTTACTGGCCTGAAACTTCAGCAACTTCAGCAGGTCTTGAGTGAAGCGTTTGATCTGAGCGCGATGGGTCAGCGTCAACAAACGCTTGGAGCCTAGACCCAGGATCTGCACTCAGACACACACACACACACACATACATATATTAGGGCTGGTAATTTAACACGTTAATTAGATTAATTATGGTGAAAAATAATGCGTTAAAATTATTAACACATTTAACGCACTTGCCCCGCCCCAGACCCACGTGGGTCATCTGACATTGCATACAGCTGATTGATGACAAATATGATGCAGGGCAACAACTCACTGTGTGATGAGCCTCGAGAACGTAGTTGGAATGTCCCTAAAATTCAAGATATGGGGCAAAAATGCCCGTTTGAGTTTTTGTCTCATATTTACATCATATAGTTAAGCAATATCACACGAGCAACATAGGCTAAGTGCAATATCACACAAGTGCAAATACTGATCATATACAACAGTTCAGTAAGTAAGAAGTTAGTGTTATTTTAGACACAATGTTGTCTGTTTTGCTCAATTTTGCCAATGAAAATATAAAGACAAAGCAGAACTGTTCGTCTCCGAGCAACACACAGCGGCATTTCATTTCTTAATGTACGTTTTGAACGAACTGGATGAACCATTTGGCGCGTTGAACCATTGGCCATAGGCGCGTTGGATTTGAAGCGGCGCTGCAAAGACCGATCGGTTTATGACATTAAAGGACCGTGAGAGCGATTCAAAAGCATGCAGAGTCGTCTGCTCTCTATAGCTCTTGCGGTACTTTGATGTCACACAACGATCGATCTGATGCTCCGCTTCAAGTTGAACAAGTCTAATGATTCAATGGACCATTCATACAGAACCATTTACTTCACTCCTGAATGAATCAGCCATTTGAACGAATCAAATGAATGAATAAATGACTTGATGAACTTAATCATTAAGACATTTACCACCACCTACTGGCAGTTTTAGTTTATTATTTAGAGTATCATTTCATTAAAGAAATAATTTCATATTTCCATAGTAATAATAATAAAATTAATAAAATGAATTATTAAAGGTATAGTTCACACACCCAAAAATGACAATTGCGTCAACATTTACTCACCCTCATGGTCCAAAAGAGTACATGTAATAAATTTTATCAAACAATATTTCTTGCTGAAGCTACTTTCTGTAATGTCAGTTTGATGCTTTACACAACAATGACTTTAAATTATCTTTTGAGAGTAATTTCTCAGCCAAATTTGATATGCGATTAATTTGCGATTAATTAAATCGCCACATCATGTAATTAATTGGATTAAAAATTGTAATCGCTTACCAGCCCTAATATATATATATATATTTTAAAGTGGCTGAGGAATCACAGAGAATGTCAAACAGATGTCAAAACTGCGAACTGAATGAAAAGCTGTGCATGTGTTCAGACCTGCAGCACGTGAGGAACGGCCTCCAGCAGTTCCAGCAGTTTGGAGAATCCGTAGTCGGACACACGGCACTGCTTGGCAAAATGGTGGTGATACGCTGGAATGAACTTTGTGATGGGCACCAAACAGGACGGCTGGTTCTTCATCAGATCCACCATCTCTCGGCTGAACTGGATCAGCTGTGGGTTCCCAACCGGACTCTTACTGCGCTGCAGCCACGGATCTGACAAACACACAAACACACATGGGCTTTTTCATTTACGCAGTGGTGATGGCGAGAGAACACACGCACACACACACACCTGCGTTGGGCGGCGGGGGTTTGTTGTGAATCCACTTGATGATCTTGAAGCCGTTCTGGGCCGTTACGATAGTGACTCCAGGGATGCAGGTGATGAGGTGCTCTAACGGGACGCTTCCCTCCAGCTTCCCCTCCTCTGCAACAGCTAAAGGACTGAACTCTGCTGCATAGCATTCTGGGAAACTGTGTACAGACAGAAAACAATCACATGTGCAAGACATTAACGGACCAATGAAATACAGTGGGTTTAGAAGAGAATCAGCCCCCTTTCAAATAATCACATAGTGTTGCTTTGCAGCCTGAAATGAAGAGGGACACAGTTTTTGTTTTATCCAGCTGTATTTACTCAGTGCAACTTATAACATCCAAGTGAAAGATAAAACACCAACATGTCAAAAAAAATAATAAAACAGAATCTGATTATTTTCTATACCCACTGAAACCACGTTAGTGTCTGTGTGTGTGTGTGTGTGTGCGCGTGTGTTTGTGTGTGTGAGTGTGTGAGAGAGAGAGAGAGAGAGAGAGAGTGTGAGAGAGAGAGAGAGAGAGAGAGAGAGAGAGAGAGAGAGAGAGAGAGAGAGAGAGAGAGAGAGAGAGAGAGAGAGAGAGAGAGAGAGAGAGAGAGAGAGAGAGAGAGAGAGAGAGAGAGAGAGAGAGAGAGAGAGAGAGAGAGAGAGAGAGAGAGAGAGAGAGAGAGAGAGAGAGAGAGAGAGAGAGAGAGAGAGAGAGAGAGAGAGAGAGAGAGAGAGAGAGAGAGAGAGAGAGAGAGAGAGAGAGAGAGAGAGAGAGAGAGAGAGAGAGAGAGAGAGAGAGAGAGAGAGAGAGAGAGAGAGAGAGAGAGAGAGAGAGAGAGAGAGAGAGAGAGAGAGAGAGAGAGAGAGAGAGAGAGAGAGAGAGAGAGAGAGAGAGAGAGAGAGAGAGAGAGAGAGAGAGAGAGAGAGAGAGAGAGAGAGAGAGAGAGAGAGAGAGAGAGAGAGAGAGAGAGAGAGAGAGAGAGAGAGAGAGAGAGAGAGAGAGAGAGAGAGAGAGAGAGAGAGAGAGAGAGAGAGAGAGAGAGAGAGAGAGAGAGAGAGAGAGAGAGAGAGAGAGAGAGAGAGAGAGAGAGAGAGAGAGAGAGAGAGAGAGAGAGAGAGAGAGAGAGAGAGAGAGAGAGAGAGAGAGAGAGAGAGAGAGAGAGAGAGAGAGAGAGAGAGAGAGAGAGAGAGAGAGAGAGAGAGAGAGAGAGAGAGAGAGAGAGAGAGAGAGAGAGAGAGAGAGAGAGAGAGAGAGAGAGAGAGAG